TCTAGCCTAGGACAGAGTTTAAGCAGGAAGCTGGAGAACCGGGAATGAGCCAGCTCACAGAGGTTCATGTACTAACTATTGTTCCTCCACAATCTCCCTATTGGCAGTGGGTGAGAGACCCCACTGTGCCACCCACAGGCCCCTAGGCTTCCCGTCATGTCAATTACACCAACAGTCTATTTGTTTCCTATCTCTGTCTTCCACACAGGACTATCATCTCCCCGTGGACCCAGATCACATCTACTTAACTCACTAATGCTCCCCAGTAAACAGCACCAACCCTAGCAGGTGGTAGGTAAACATTTGAGATTGAGGAGTGAACCAAGCACAAAACATTATGTCAGCACCACCAGACCCACCTTGAACTTGGACACCACAGTCAACACAGGGACCCTGCTCTGGCCAGAGGGCTCCTCCTGGGACTTCTCTTCAGGGTCAGCAGGAAACAGCACCTTGAGCAGGGGGTCCTGGGATTGCTGCAGGAGCCTGGTGAGCTCAGGGGGGACGGGGTCCTATTGGGAAAGGACAAGGGCAGCAGGTGAGGGCAGGTGGAGTGCTACCCAGGGCTGCCCACGGGCTTGCCAGCCCTCCCACCCAGGCCCCAGATGAAGGGCTACTAGGGGAGGGCGGGGCCCAAGTCTGAGAGACAAGCTGGTCCACTGGACACCTAGAAACCAGGAGACCCCGTGTGACATGGGTCACTTCTGGGCAGGTCATGCCTGATTAGCAGAGACCCAAGAGGTGGCCCTGGATTCTGGGAGGATGTTCAGGAGGGAGGACGCACAATAGGAAGCTACCATGTATGCACAGCAGTGGTTCGGCATCTCCTTCAGTGCCGGCTCCCAGGAGCCACGGCCCAGCCTCACCTTGTTCTTCTCCACCAGGCCTGCGGTGCGGTACCGCACAGGCCCTGCGTAATGCAGCACAGTGAAGCTGGGCTCCCGGCTGAGCTTGCTGTGGCCCAGGCAGGGGCTGCCTGCCAGGGCACTCTCAATGCGTGTCTGGAGCTGGGCTGCACTGCTGGGCCGGTTCAGGCGGCACTCCTGTGTGGGACGGGATGGGCAATCGGCCACAAAAGTGAGAGGGGCTCCTCACAGGCCCCACCCCATGGCCCCCATGGCAGCAGAGTTGTCACACAGGCGTGATAGTGACCCTGAGAGGGAAGGAGTATAGGGATTGGCAGATGGGGCAACAGAGGCACGGGATCGTCTTCAAGGCCCCAGAAAAGCCCAAAGCCCCACTTGTGCTCAGCACACTGGCGGACCCTCCCCACCTCATTGATAAGGGAGCAGATGCTGATGGGGCTCCCCTCGAGGAGATCCAGACAGGTCTGGTTGTCCTGGTAGTTGACAAATGACCACTCCAGGCCCTCAACTGCATATTCCTCCTAGGGGGCAAAGTGTGGGGGTGCGGGGAGAAGGCAGCTGTGGTCTGAGGCCCAGAAGGGCCATCCCATGGCCTGCCTCAGCACCACAGCATATTCCAGAACGGCCTCAGAGGAGGAACTATCAGCTCCTGGTCGGTTCTGTATCTTCCTGACTAAGAAGATACAGAGGACGCAGGCGGAGGACTGGCCCACCGCCGCACCCTCACCTGCTGAGCCTTGAGGTAATGAGCCACGAAGTGCTGCTGCAGCTTCTCGTTGGCATAGTTGATGCACAGCTGTTCGAGGCTGTTGTCGGGAAATGACTCAAATCCGTACACATCCAGCAGGCCTGGGAGGACGGGGAGAAGCCATGGGGCCACTGCAGGAGCAGGTAGGTGTTGGGGGGAGCACTATAGGAGCTCAGGGTGGCCCAGGGTGAGGAAGCCTCACCCTTGGCAGCCTGGGGATGAGGCTGAGTGAGCATGACGCCCACAGCAGACAGAGCACCCCACTTCACCCCAGGGTGCCCATCTCTATCTCACATCCCTTCAGAGCTCAGAGCAGGAAGAAAGTCCAAGTAAGGTGTGAGCAGTGGCCCGGGGCACAAGGTGCACTTTGAATCTGAATCCTCTGGCCCCAGTAGGCCCCTCCTGTGAGGGAACCAGGTCCCTGGGAGCATTTTTCATGTCCAGGTCTGGAGGGCCTGGGTCTCACCAGCCTAGCTGGTGTCTAGAATTCTACCATTGTGTGAGCAAATTTCTCTGGTGCCTTTGAGCTTTACTTCCTCCCCTACCGGACTACCCCAACGATGTTATCAAGTCCCTCAAGTCCCTTCTAATCTAGCTCTTTCATCCATCCCCACTACTCTCCTGAGACCGGAGCTGGGTCTCTGGGGATAGAAGGGGCCCCATCTCAGCGAGGTGAGCTATGGATGGGTCAGATGTGGGCACTGGGGAGCTCAGAGATGTCCTCGCCTGAACAGTGGTGGACCGATGAGGAGATGAGGGTGCAGAGAAGGGAAAAGAGCTGCCTAGTGGACCCAGGGCTCCCCGTTCTTTTTCTGAGAGTGTGCCCCCGGCAGGGAGAGCCCCTGCTACCTATGAAAGTGGTCCAGTAGTTGGGGTCTGCGCAGATGCTGCTGTTGATCACCGATACCAGCCAGTCAAACAGCCTGTTGGGTTGGAGGAAGAGTGGATTCTGGTGAGAGGGGGTCGGGCTGAGCCTAGGGGTGGCAAAATGGCTCCTCCAGCCAGGGTTCCACACCCTGGAGGGCCTGACTGGTCAAGGACTAAACCCTCTCCTCTGGTTTCCCATCGGCCTGTCTTGACCTACCACAAATGCAGGCTGCGGTCATTCATGTTCTCAGGTACACATAAAAGCTCCTGTCTGCATTAGTCACATGCCCCGATACCCAGCCGGTGTCTTGACTAGAAGGGGCTGGATGGGATTTGTGAAGAACTGAGTTCACTAGACTCCCCTGCAGAACTCGACCTGTGGAGCCCAGCACTCGAGGCCCTGTAGCACCCCCCGCCCCCCTCCAGTCCCACACAAATGGGTCTTGAGTCACCTGGGGCCAACAATGGNGGCAGTGTCACTGGCCCTCATATGTGGGATCCGAACCGGGGCCCTCTGGCATCCCAAGCCAGTTCTTAACCATCGCGCCACTCGGCCGGCCCCAGCGTGCACTCTTAACAAGGCTGCTGGTTCGACTCCTGCATGGGATGGTGGCTACGCCCACCAGCAACTATAAACTGAACTCGGCACCTTGAGCGTAGAGGCCATGAGCTGCTGACGTGCAGCCAGATGGCGACTGGTGCCCTCCACAACGAAGATTGAAGAACAACAACTTGGCTGGTCCCTTCCCCAATTCCCCAACACTGTTCCCTCCCCTAAGTCCCCAGTAAAATCTTTTTTAAAACAAGTTTGAAACAGTACTTTTTCAGTGAATGGCGACCTTGTGCCACTACATAAGGTACTAAATTCAACACATAAAGCAGAATCGTAAGGAAGGTCCATAATATAGCCATGACTCCACCACTGTTAGATATTTGGGTGGCTTCTGGTATTTTTATTTTTAAAAATGAGACTGCTGTGGACATGGTTCATATGTCTTCCTTTGATGAATCAAATCTTATCGGTTTTTATCTTCTTAAACTCATTACAAGCCCTGGAGCCCGGCAGGTAATGATTTGAGTTGTTATTAAGGGAAAGAAAGATGGTATAAGCAGCAATCAAGGTCTGGGGGAGGGGAATTAAAGGTAAATTTTTACCCTCCACTACCTACAGAGCAGCCTTAGTAGTGGTGTGACCTGGCTTCCACTGGACTGGAGAGAGCTCGGGGTGAGGTGGACGGTGGGTTTGAATCCCAGTGCACCATAGGGACATGCCACCAACGTCTTGAGGCTGGGCCACTGTCAGCTTTGGTATATGGGGACTCAAGGAGCAGCGTTTCAGAGGAAACAGGTATCGTGGGGTCTGCCGTTGCTGACAGTGGCTGCATCTAGGCCCACCTGCCGGCCTGGATGAGGGCTGTGTAGCCCGGGGCCCCAGTCCTACCTGCCTGGATGAGCACAGCAGCCTGCCTCTGCCTCTCCTGCTTGCGGTGCTGGTGTCGCCTCCAGCTGCCCTGGATGCAGCGGGCACACTGGTCCAGCACCTGGGCACGCCCGAGTTCCAGAAGCTCCAGCTGGGAGAAGGGGCATCCACGGAGGTCCTCAGCCTCTCCTCCCCCTGCCCTGAGAGCACAGCTGGCTTCGGTCATCTCTGCTCCTCATCCCAAACCAGCTTACCGTGGCGTCAGTCATGAACACCTTGGTCCTGCCGCAATGCACTGGGGCTGGCGTGGCCTCAGCTGGGTCACCTGGTGT